GATATATTTTAATAAAATGTATATATAAATACAAGCACGAAAGCGAATACACAGAAACCAATATTATTACCTATATTATATTTGTATACTGCCAGATGCCGCAGCCAGAAACTGTATATTGTGTACATCCGACCAACGCGATACGGTATATTTATTTGACACTTGCGGGCTCTCTGACGATGATGATTCATCGTGTTTTTATCTCGTCACAGTTGTATTTGGGAAACTTTTGAAACTATATTGTGTAGCGACACATATATACTTTATATGTATATATATATATACATATGTACAGGATGTTTGCTCCGAATGTACCTGTATCAAATATTGAAATATCTACAGCAAGATAACGAGACGCATGTATACAATTGTATAACACGCTGCAGTGACTCAAGGTGTGTCCAAATGTTTTTCTAAAACTTTTGTTAAATTTGATTGTTTTGATTATGCGATGCGAAAAACATAATAAAATATATGTGAAAACAACGATTCAATGACAACCGACGCGAAACTGACTAACCGGAAGATATAAGAAAACGACGCATGTCCGGGGAAAAAAATTAAAGGATTAAGGAGAAACACCGGAAATGACGAATTTAGAAGATAAGGAATCCAAGACCGGGACGATTGGAGAACAGCATAGGTTGTGGTAACCAAAATTATTAAGCAATTTAAAGGCCGAAGAAAAAGAGAAGAAGAAAGTATCACGTTTTACCCATGCGTATGCACCGACCTTGACGACATAAACAAATTATAATCTAAATAATGGTATACGTATACATACAATATGTATGTATACATAATGTATATGTATATTATATATATATTTATTATACAAGTACTATTAGCTATAGGTATAAGCTTCGACTTTGTATCGTTTCACAGAGAATTGTCTATGTCCTCGCGTATTCGGACACCGAGCGCTAAGAATACTAATAATATATATTACAGTACGCAATTATTCACAATCTCTCCGAATGTGAATTTTATATTTTATATCTTTCTCTTTTTTATTAATTGTCCACGTCTCGTTTCCACATAATACCATATTATCAAACACCGTGTTAATATTGTTTCGTACTTAAATTTATATTCTAATAGGTATAACAAGAATATAATTTCAAAAATTTAGCCCATTAAATGTTCGATTTTTAGTAGGTGAGTAGGTTAAACTACATACCATGTATATCAGCTATACATAGTTATAACGAATTATATCTAATCGAAAACCGTACATATTTATAAGTTATACCGAAACTAAAATGATGTACCGTCTATGTATACGTCGTATTTGAATGATTGAGCGCTTTAAACATGTTATTAATAATTTTGTATTATCTAATTACTATTAATTTGTATTAAAATATATTTTTAAACTACCATAGAAGATATATATATATATATTGGTAGGTACATTATTTAAGTAGTACGCCAAACCAAAATTATTGCATTTGTCAATAGACTTTAAATTGAATTTATTTCGCATCCCCTGACTGTAATTGTTCCCTAAAATTTTGAAATAACTTCTCAAAATTACAGCAAAAGCCGTCGTATTATATTATGTGTGGGAAGTTTTTCATCTATAATAATATAATTTTGGTCCCCAGTGAGGAAGGGCTGAAGTCTATTTCGTATACAGTTTCAAAAACAATAGAACATTGAATTTTTAATAATCATACACTTATGCAAATTAAATCCAAAAGAAAGGCTGGACATACTTCGCACGTGGATGCAGCCACTGCTGAAGGCAGGAAGTTGGAAAGGTATAGGATACAGACGGGAGTCTAATGTATATCTGTAAGCAACGATAAACCATTGCTAACGAAAAACGATTTTGAGCGGAGTTCAGTTGATAGTGTTGCTTTGTCAACAACACATATGCCATGTTACGGTAAAATGATTACAACAATGTGCGTTTTCATGACAACAATGATTGTTTAAAAAAGATAAAAATAATAAAAACTTTATAGTACCTAACAAAAATTAAATAAAGACGGTTACCATATTTCAATTGTTTTTAACCTAAAGAACCAGGTTTTCCTCATTATCTCTAATGTCCATGAGGATTTCGAAAAAAATGACCTCTCTAAAGTACCATGCGGGCTATCGCGAATGACAATATCGATCGGTCTTGTACCCTTTAAGCCCTTCTTCCCCGGGACCAAAGATCAAAAAGACATATAACGCGAAAAATGCAGTATGTGACTTACCTAAATATTGCAAATTCGATGTGAAAACGGATACGCGTCGGTGTCGGCCTGGCACCTTCGTCGTCGTCGGAACGAGATGTAATACTTAGTGAAACAGAAACGGTCCGTTCAGATGACTTTTATAGTACGCGGGTAATTTCGAATACGGGGGACTGCAAAAAAAAGAATACGGGGGACTGCAAAAAAAAAAAAACGTACAATGTCTTTGTAGCCGCGCAATATTTATTGTTCGCGCGATTATACTACGCGTTTATACAACGGGATGCCGTGCGACGATAGTTTTTCAAGTGTATATAGGGGGTGTAATACCCCCGGACTATATTATACAGTGTCTCACGGTGCAAAAACAATATTATACTAACATTGTGTGTAACGGGTCTTTCGCGCGGGGGACCGAATTATGCAAAATATATTCACGCATATCTATACACTAAATACGGATATAGGTGCCCGGGTACGGGCCGTAGCCGGACAGCCTTCGGGAACCGGTTCGCCCCGACGACGACTTCGACTCCCACGGTGTCCGCCGCATAAATTGCCCGCCGGTACATAATATACCCTCCCGCGCGCCCGCCGACTCGGTCGCTTCTTCCCACACACGTATATATATGTACGCGCATATATTATTCGTATTCACCCCCGTCAAAGAGGAACCACGACTACACCCGAAAAACGGGTCCCGCCGCCGACTCGTCTCCCGCGCACGGAAACCCGGTCGCCGAGATTTCGCCACCGGACCGGTTTCCTGAGATCGTGACGGAGATTTCCCGCCATAAACTGTTTCGGACCCACGCGTTCGGCGTGCGATTATTATAACCGCCTCCGCCACCGCCGCCGGAGTCCCGATTTTTATGTGCGCGGTGTGCAACATTTGGTACCGCATATATTATCTTGTATTATGCACCGTTATTAAATATGATTGTAATTTTTATTTATCTTATTCCATTCCCATTATTCCGGCCGAACCGATTAAACGGCCACCGAATCAACGTTTTTTTTTTTTTTTTTTTTTTTTTGTGTACTTACATTTTACCGAATGATCACCCGATTATATTGTATTTGTTTTTTATTCGTTTTTTCGCAATATCTAACAAGACGTTTGAGTCGAAACGGGATTGAACCCAATTGGACTACACACACAATAAATAGTATTTATTATCAGACACTCAGTATAGTGAATTTTTGCTTACCGTGTGCCTCCAATAGGAAATAATTTATGGCAAACGATTGCGTTTGTCAATTTCGTGACAAAATTTAATATTTCATGTATATGAAAAACTTTCACCGGTGTGTAGAAACAGCTGGCAACTGGGGAAAGCCCAAAAGTTAAGGGGAAGGTTTCGTCTGTTTGCTCGTATAGAACATTTCCAAAGGTTTGGGTAATGGAAACGCGGTGGATTATATTATTCGCTCAAAAATGAATTTGAAACATATTCTATCCAAGGTGGTTCTTAATTATATAATAATATAGAGATAAATCAAATTTTACTTGAAAAATACTCTGAGAAAATCCAATAACGATTATGAACGCGCGTGTTTTTTTCTTTTTATTTATTGGTACGTTTTCGACCACAGAAGATTAAACGACGTATTTTTTCAATATTTATTTTATACTTTATCTAAAAATGTTGGAAAATCAAAAAACTGGAATTCGTGGACTACATCGATTTTTAGTTTCATTTATTGAAACACACTGTTAGACTATTATCGCAGAGACCTACAATTTTCATTAGATACTTATCAATATATAAATATTTAAAATTTTCGATTTTATTTTTTTTTAGATCTTATATTCTGAATGTGCTTTTTTTCTGTTTACAATCAACAACTTTTTGACTCTAATCAGTTATCTCGCTTCGACCATGAACATTTATAATAATGATTTCTAGAGTAGAACGCTTTTAAAGATTTAGGTCTATAATACCGTCCGATAGTTTCTTGCAGTTATGTATTCACTTATCATTATTTTCATTATTCTATATTGTCTCGCTTTTTAACACTGTAAAAAGTAGTACAACAGGACTATAGTAACCCAATATTGCGTCCGGTGCAAAAATTCAAAATGCGTCACTTATGAACTTTATTTTCAATGCAAATTCAAAGCTGCAAGTTTTGTAAAAAATACAATCAAATGGGCTTTTTAATTATCTATCATATATCACTATGACAATCCTCCCTAGGCAATATCTGAAATATTATTAATATGCCAATATCAAAAATATTAAGCTTATATTAGAAATATAAGATAGTTGATGTCGGCCCGTAATAATTTCTATCGTATGACTTATCAATATTTCTGTATAACATTTGAGTTCAATTTTAAATAATAATATGTTATTGATATGGAGTTGTATTTAGCTTTCGGCCAGACAATTATTGAAGTCAGTTATGTGCAAATTATGATAACTTGGTGGGAGGCGATCGAAGAAGTTTCACAAGTAAAAAAGTTAAACATTTTTAGCTGTAGTATACGATGTGTTTTTCGAAGTTCAGGAGACTGGTTCAAGTCTTAAGGAAAATATCCCCTGTATACATGCTTGATCATAACTGTACTCAAATTTCCAATTAATTATGATTAATTAAAATTAAAATTCGTTGTTGCAGTGTTATTGGTGATTATTATAATATTGGTATTTGGTAAATCTTATTAAAAAAAAAGAAGAAATGCATGATACGTGCACTTTAGCACAATAATATAGCTAATATATATTGTAATTATTATTATATTATAATAAATATTAAGAATTAAAATAATACATGCATATTCGCACATATATATAAATGTGAAGTGATGAATATAATATGTTTTTTGAGTTATTTAAGTATACTTAATAATAAAATGTATAGTAAATTATTATGCTCTAAAATATGCAAATATGATTAAATCTATAAACAATATAATATAGATTATAGGTAACAATAAAGTAGTTCTTCATTTTTTTTTTTTTTTTAAACAGATTACAATATTTGTATAGTATATACGTATTTATCGTCGTATAATTAATGGTTTGTTATCCTTATGTTTGTAAACAGCGAAAGAGCTTGAAGATGGTGCATTTTTTCTTCAAATCTGTAACAGAAAATGTTTTTATTAGTTGCATAAAATCTATATTATGTTGTACAATAGGTTTCGATAGTACGGTGTTAACGCCGATACGACGATAGCCAATAGCATAATATTATAATTTATACATAATATAATATACGAAAAAGTAAGACTTTATTTAAATTTGCAAACTAATCTATAATTTTGTTGACCAATCATTAATCAAGTGTTTTAATTGTTACTTTTAATAATTCCACAAATAGAAGAAATTTTATTTTCTGTTTAATTCCCGTCAACCCATTTCATCAATTTACAAAATATTTAATATTGGTGATTGGTTGCTACTTGAAAATCAAATGTAGTTAGTGATTTCATCCCGAATAATGAGGGTGCCAAAAAATACCCGAAATGTAACATTTTAGATCTGCGAAGAATTTCTTTGATTTTCTATAAAACAAATTCCGAAAAAATGAATTCTTTCCGAGATAATATAAATGGTTTACGTTTTGTTGATCAATACTGTACAATTTCACCTGATTGTTCGTTTCAGAATCACCGTGTCTATGTGGCTGTTAAAAATTGTACCAAAGACAGACGCTCGTATACATCTGTACACATATATATATATATATATATACGTGCATAATACGTACGGATATGAATATATAACTCTATTAACGTACAATATCGTACGTCATGAATTTTTAAAAAAAGAAATTATATTATATTATCAATTTTTTTTTCAATCCAAGTCCGGTTCACGTTTTATACTAATTATTTTAATATAGAAGAGATATTATATCAAACGTGGTAGTTTTTTGAAATACCACGCAACGCTACTATATATATATATAAAGTTGTACGATCATATCGCGAGATGTTATTCGAGTAGTAATAATATACACATATCCAATAATACGATAAGATTAATTGTTTTCAAACAATATTTTTTAATAAAACCGTAATTATTGCACAGCAACCGTTTTGATGCATAAAAACACGGAATTTTTAAACACAAAATGATGATGCACGAACTATATATTACAGTTTTACAAGGCATGCGAAATATCTCTATATTATTCGTTTATAAAACCTAACGAAAATCCTGCAGAATTATTGTGATTTTTGAATGACTCCTAATATATGCGTACAGCTACACGTATTTATGAATGGTCTTAATCAATGAATTTTAGTTGTTTGCGTTTACTTTGCCAGCATGCAGTACAACGAAATGTAATAACGTAATAACGAAATGCTGTTGCAAATGTCATGAATTAATTTTGTTTTCGATTATAGCAGCAGCAATAAGTCAATATAAAAGAAACTTATTCGCTGGGTTATCATGCTAATTATTGTACATATATGCATTTAGATATATTTATTTTTTATATGACGGTAAAATAATAATACAATAAAATATACCCAATTTTTGTATATTTTGTTTGTATTATAGTTCGTTTAATTTTAACAGATATTTTTTTTAGCCATCCTGCAGCAGTATATTAAAAAAATTACGTTTTGATAATGATAATATATATGTTACTTATCTTACAATAAATATTTTAATAATCGTTTTTTTTTCTTTTTTAAATTTTGATATAATACGAATGCAGTCTCTTTGTAAATAATTTACAAATACCTACTAATAATATTAAGTTTAATAATTATTATTTATTACAACGTATTTAAAGCAGGGAAATACATATTTTATAACGAAATATCCGTAAAATTCAAGTTTGAATGGTATTTATGTATTTTTTTTCAATTCTCTTCATACTCGATATCACGAAATGATTTTAAATTTGTTCTATTAAGCAAAGTATTTTATTATTTATTTTGATATGTTTCCAGATTTTTAGTTTTAGTACATTTTTGTATACCTATACCCAGTGGTGTTCCCATTAATTTTTTTGAGAGTATACTGTACCATTTAATTTTATATATCTTATGAATTATATTGTCTACAGGGAAATAGATATCAATTATACAAAAAATTAAACTTAAATTATCAAAACAAAACACTCGAAAGATTTAAGAATAAAGTTAGCACTAGGTAACAGCTTACCTAGATGAATCGTAAGAAAATCGTGAAATGTTCAGTTACTTATAATAATTACTGATATAAAAACAATTTTTATTACTATATCGGTTTTCGTGACTATAAGGGCTATGAATGACTCATGATAATAATATATCATGAAGGTCTTTTCTTTTTTAAACTATTTAAAAGTATACCCGTAATTATTCTACAACATTTTGAGAGTATACAACATATATGTAGTATACCTATGGAAACACCACTGCCTATACCTATATATTAGTTTTAATGAAATATGAAAGTTAAACTATTTATAATTTTTTAGAAATTTCCGAATCAATATGGATAATGATTTGTTTAAATTAGTAAATAACTTATTAGTTACCTAAAATAAAAAAAAATAAAATAAATCTGTCCTTGGATAATGGGGACGGTGCAGCCGCTGTTGTAGGTGGGAAGATTGGAGGGTAGAATACAGAAGGGAATTAAATGTATATCTGTAAGCAACGATAAAATATTACTAACAAAAAAACGATTCTGAGCTGAGTTCAGATAATATTGATGTATTGTCAACAATACATATATGTCATATTATAGTGAAATAATAAAATAGGCATCATATATTTTATTTAATAATATTAGTTTAATATTGTACCGATTTTCCCTTTATTCCCATATTTTTTCCCGGTTTTTTACATTTGCTATGAAAGCTCTTTGGAAAATCAAAAAATGACCTCATAAAAGTACCTTCTTAGTTAGATTTTCTTTTAGAAAAAATGCTATCGTTGTAAATCGGTTCAAAATTGTAGTAAAAAAGTTGTCCACAGAAAAACAAAAATAGACATCTTTGTAAAAACCAATATATTCTTCGCTCCACTCAGAATTTAATATAAATTGTAGTTTTTGGTCAAAACTCAATATTATCATGAGTGATATTCTCCTCATATATACTGGAAGGATGATATTTTAACTGGTCGCCGTGATATCCTGATCCGTGTGTAATAATACAAGAATAATTATTGTTTTAAGGTATAAACAACACCAACGTAAATATTATAAATATTGTCATCGATTAATTTTGTTTTTCATAAAATCGTACGTGGTACATCGTATATATTTTATATGGCCGTGTTTCAATGAGAAATTAACAAAGTTTAGGATATATATAGGTGCCTATATTTACTTTTTATTTTTATTTTTTACTTTTTCGAGTTTCGAGATTTATGTCGCGAGTAGTGTAAAAAAAAAAAACGAATATAAAAATGTCGCCTGATAAATACGACGAGACGCCAGGGGACGAGAAAAACCAACCGAAAAAAAAAAGATACAATATATAAACGCAAACAACCCTTCTCTCTACTCCTCAAACCCGCCAGAATTCCGCATACGTAATGGGCAAAGTTGTGCAGCGAGTCGATTTACGCAGTTTGGCGACGCGGCCGGTCCGTGCTGTAGCCAGAGCCCTGCCGGGAATTAATGAATGTCGTTATCTGCCCGGGTCCGTGTGTCTTCGATTTTTCTAAACCCCTCCAAGGCACTTGGTCGTCGCATCGACCCTCATTGGCCGGGAGAAAAAAGGGTAGGTAGGTATTATTATAATAATAATATGGAACCGAAAAAGGCTTCGGGGAAGCGAAATAATAAAAAAAAAAAAAACGCTGCACGCACGAGTGGAAAAGAAGAGAGAAAAAGCGGGGAGAGACAGATAAAAAAAAAACCCTTTTTGTTGGCCGCGAAACAAAACCGACCGCGCGCGGGTTATCTTGAGGCACTTCTGGCGAAATTGAGTGGATCCTTTTTACCGCGTATATATGACTTTTTTCCCCCCGTTTTGTTTTCCCCGTTAATTTACGTACATAGGTATATACCTCTATATATAGTATATATTGTATGTTATATCAGAAGTACAAACCGAATTTCTGGGTATCTGCTGCAGCAATACGATGATGGTATATATCGACCAAATTCAAACAGAACGCTGTAAAAAAAAAAAAAAAAATTAAAATTAAATGGGGATGGCGGCGGAACAAAATTGAAAGAGAATATACCATTGGCTGACGTGATGTAATTGAATTATTATTCATAGAGCATTATGCAAATCGCGATGCGGGGTTGCGACGACGATGTGGATGCGTGGAGACGAGAGAGTTTCGGGGCGAAAACCGAGCTTTACAAATGCGAAAGACGGACGGTGAGGGAACACCCGAGGGGTCGGTTTGACTACAGACAAGGGTTATATAATACGGAAAAGAAAGGAAAAATCGAGAGTGAATTCCATTCACCGTGATGAGCCACCGCTGCCACCAGTCTGCACAGTGTTCGTGACGTTGCAATATACCGTTGATATATAATTAAATATACGAAAAGAATGCATAAATTTAACATATATTTTATAATAAAATTTACCATCATTGTTTGAACTATATAGGTTTATAGTAGATTTGTGGATTTTGGGTTGTTTTGTTTTTACTTTATACTTAAAGTATAAATGTAGATATAATTTAGATTCAAAACATATTAATAAATATTTATGATAATATAGGTATTAATATTAGTATAAGTACTTATGAATAATCTCTAATATTTCTTTTTGAACATAAAAAATCAATTTTTATAGTATGTAAAAAAACATTCATATACGTAATTTAATGGCATATTTGTGAATTACCAAAATTCAGTGACGTATATAAAAATTAATTTGGGGGGGGGGGTTATAAAAAAGCTTTTGGATTCTAGTTAATACATAGATTAAATAGATTCATAAATACGCATGTGTGTTGTACCAACTATAAATTTCGGGAAGGGGTTGAACCCCAAATCCTCCCCTATATATACGCCACTGCCAAGACGAACAAAAAAATTGAGCTGTATGATAATTTAATATAATACCTATTTAGTATATCTATTATCTACATATTAAATAAAAAAATAATTTTAAAATGCAGATATTTTGGTTTTATTTATGGTAGACGAGAGATATAGTACATCATCGTTATATCTAGAATATTTCGTGTTCTAGATTAGCTGTTTGATAATTTCATCTAGATACAATCCCATCACCGAACTGGTTGTGAGTACGTATTGTTTATTATGATATGTATATTTCGAAAAAGCTCCAGAAAAAGTCGAATACACACGGGTGGTCGGTAAAACATACAGTTTTAGCTTTTCAGTATATCATTCAAATTCGATTCAACGCTATTGCAAAACACATAGTCTATAGTATGTAAATATCCGTATGAATAGCTGTATAATAGTTAATATGTATAGCTATGTACTTATATAAGTTTATCGTTTTATTTATTTTGCCGTTATTGCGTGTATATGGAGGGATGGTTGCGTATCGAGGACGAGCGGTTGCGGCCATTGACGGGGTCAATATAGTTTGAAAATAATTATTTTTGAGGCGGTAAAGTATAATGGGTGGTGTAAAAAATAACGTAATATATAAGACCAGAGGGCACTATATAAAACGATGCGATAAGAGACGAGCGCGGGGTAAAGGAAATTAACGTTTTCGAATTTCGACTTTCCCGCCGTCGACATGTTAGTGCTGCTGCACCACTCGTGTAACATATTTTATACTTAAACTCACACGCACGTACATTTCCACTGCAGCAGCACCGTACGCCCCACGCCGAAAAACCCCATTACAACGTGGACGAAAACATTTTTCTTTTTACGCGCACACACTTTGTACACACACTGTAAATATACATATATATATATATATATATACATTATAGCGTGTATGATTAATTAAGGGGCTCTGGAGGGGTCTACGAGGCGTATATGTGCGTACGTATTATACGTACGTACGTACGCATAGGGTAGGGGTGGGAGTTAAGGGTTAGGCGTCGGTCTCGAAAGAATTAATCTTTGTTAGCCAAAGTCGGTGGAAGAGGGGATAGATAGGGGAAGGAGGTTGGTGAGGAAGGGCGTCCGCGTGTTTAATCTCTTGGATGAATTTAAGAACCGCACACGAGCAGTCGAAGACCGCAAAAAAGTTTGTTTTTTATTCTCGTTACGAAAAAATATATATATATCGTTTATCTTTTTTTTTTCGTCAGTCCTCCGCTCCTATATATTATACACCATCACCCGGACCGGCTTAATTACTTTTTTTTTCCGTAATAAGTTGCTGCCAACGAAATATTATAATAATATTTTCGCTCTCTCGGACCGTCGGTTTTTCACAGTCTCCGACGCCCCGTCACACACTCGGAAGTGCACACACAAGAGAAATATAATACGAGAGTATACGAATGTATAAATATGTATTTATTTAATATTATCAATTTTTCAAATTTCCACCGTATTCAACCACGACACGGTCCAAAAATATATTAAATGACAACTGTATACTTATCGCGTGTATCACCGTCAACTATATTGTAATTTAACATGTAAATACTTTTTTTTTTTTGTGACACGATTCGTTATGCTGTGTCGCACGTTTTTTGCAAATACCAAAGCGTTGAGGCATGTATGTCATAATTAAGTGGAAACGTTATTTTTGTTAACTATTCTAAACATAATCAGTTGGTAAAAATTTTGAATGACTTCCTGACTTAACACGTTGTTTTGTTAGTTAAATACTTCAAAATAAATTATTTTATGTGGACACTGTATTAGGTATACATTTATTTCAGTATTTTAATACAATTTACAAGTTACTAGTCACTCGATATTTTTAGAACTATACTGTGATGCGACATATAACATACAATGATTTTATTTAAGACACTTGTATCGATGGTACTACCCAACCCTGGTTTTAGGTAACAAAACAATGTATTCTATTTAACCCCGAGTTAATAAACAAATATTCTATAAATAATTATTTAATACTATTTTTCCAATATTGCAAAAAGTTAATAAAGGGGTTTTTGTTTGGTGGGGACAGGTGTAATGGAGAGTGTAACTCAGGAAAAAAGTTAAATTTTCCTCCTTGGTGATGACTATTGAATACAAAGCGAGGATATGATTGAAAAAAATTTTAGTGGTGTCCAAATTTGCTTTGGTTCTGCTCTGCTCTTGGTCCTTGTTATTCATATGGGGTACTTAAACTAACTTTATATATTTTAACGTCAAATTTTATTGAAATGTTAATGTAAACTTACTAATAATAATGTAGGTAATTGATTTATATTTAATAACATGTTTTTTTTGTATTATTTATACATAATATATATGTATATGATGGTACTTTATAAGTTTACAATTCTGTATGTTATCAAAAATAACTATTTTCGTTCAAATTCGACAGAATTAATTTTATTTGTGTATGACACTTTTTTTTAAATTGTTTATTATTAATTTTTTAAATGTTCGGGATATAATACATAATAAACATGTCACGCGTAATAAATAATAAATGTTCAGTTTATTATTATTTTTTTTTTTTTTTTTTAGGGTGGATTTATAAGCGGGACCCTAATATTTTCGGCAACACGAAATATTTAATAATATTATCATATACCTTACCGTTCTTTATGTAGTTTGAATGATGACTCGTGATGTTTTTTTTTTTTTGTCAGAAATAATACTCATCAACTTTAGCGGTGGTTTATGGTGGGAAATTCGGTGAAGTTAGTATATTGGGGAGTTATTTTTTTTAATTTTCTTGTATTAATCTTAATAGTTGCTATGATTTTTAAAAAGTATTTTTTTTCGTAGATACGTAGATTTTGAGTAAAATTGGTTTTAGTATTTTTACAACTGTTATATTCTATAGAGAATCGTTAAATGATCTTCACATTATTTAACATTAACCTAAACTAACCTAATCTAAATTTTTACTCTGATTATTCCACATATATCAAAAACACGTGATATAAACTTTTTAAACTTTGAAGAGTTATCATCTGTAGAAAATGGATATGCAATTTTTTATGCGTATGATTTTAAGAAACATTTTTTCAATTCATTACATTGTGGTGGTTTGTATTATTTGAAGATCAAAAGTTGATATTATCATAGTAATTATTAGAGTTTTAATTTTAATTTGAAACTTTTTTTGTAAATATTATTCCGTAATCCACAGAATGCATTGGCAGTAAAAACAACAACTTGAGACAATAATATGTTTTGTATTTTTTATTTTGTTACTATATTTTTAATATATTTTTATGTCGAACTTTTCTATGTATTTATTTTATATATTTTAATTTGCAAAGTGTCTCCGCAGGACAAGTATGCTTATTTAGGTATATGTTTCTCGAATAATGTATTTTTCATTAACATACAAACCGAATTATATGAAAATATTAATTTCGTTTGAATAATTAATGCATTCTTAATAATTTACAGATTTGTTAGAAAGTGTATCGAATGCACGCAGACGATTTTCACGATTTAATTTGTAACGTTATTTTCTGAGGGAAAAACATAAAATTATATAGAGCAGCCTTTAACAAATTTTCAAAAGATTTACAAGATATCACGACCAGTATAAATGTATTATTATACAGTAAAATAGTTTGAGATGGAGGAAGGAGTATAACGACGAGAAAGTTAATCATTTCTGTATCTTGTTCAGTACAAATAATAATAAAAAAACAAAAAAAAACGAATTTTACGTTTTTAAAGTTTAAATCGATAGCACCAGTATTACCGTATTACCAGTGTTAGGAAAGATAATATTTTATGTAGATAAAAGATACAGAAAAATAATAAAGACTAAAGATTTATCCAAAATAAAGATTTTCTAGATAATACTTATCATAATACTCCAGGTGACGCATTGATTCATTTATTTATTTTATTTTTATACATGCAATTTTTATTTATATATTTAATTACTTTATTTATTTGCGAGCATTGACCATTTTAATAATTTTGTTTTTACTTTATTATTTTATTATCTAGATAACATAAAAATAAAATAATATATTAGAGTAATTCATGAAAATATAATTTTAAGAAATTATATGTAGGTAATTTTACCTTTTATGTTGAAAGTATTTTGTCGGATATTTTTTATTTTTTTGTAATTGATCAAAAAACGGGTTTTTTTTTCTGAAATGTATTAAATTTATATTAAAAAAATTCATTTTTTTTTTGTAAATTGTCCGTCATTTTTATCCCTAGTTATACCAGTTTAGTACGCTGTGCACAAAATAGTTTTTCAATCACAGCAATTAATTGTTGCTTTTAGAAAATAATCTAAATAATTACCGTAAATCCCGTAAGTTCCGATTTCCCCTCTACAACTCAGTGGTTAATGTTGCGAGGTATATGTTCGCCTATTTTTTAAATATCATATAATTTATACAAATTATAATTGATTTTTATAAGACAGAAACAAATACTGTAATCCGTACCAGCGTTTCTTAACCATAGCGTCACGAATAATTTTGAATAGGCCGCCAAACAAATATAAATTAATAATTTTGGACTTTGGTCTTTCATTACTATACATATAGTTTTTCGATTAAATTTGATTAGTTGTTGATCCGAATTTTTTTTGGTCTCAATAATTTATATTGCAAGCTTCACATGGTACATATTTCTCGTTTAATCTTAAAAAATAAATGGATGATAATTTATAGTTTCTTTTAGTTATGACCATTGAAAGTTATTAACAAAAAAGTCACACGAGTCATGTGTGTTATCCTGGGTTACCCACACACAAAGATTGAGAACCATTGTTCTACACCAACAATAAAATATGTTTCATAATAAATAATAATTATTAATATTATACGCATTTACGCTGATTTATTATTAGACAACTTTTACGTTCTTGCGGTAATGTACGTTTTTTCTATGTTTGTACAACAATAATTACAATGGTAATACAAATTATTAACCCTTTTATAATCTACAATATTTGTAAATAAAGATATTAAAAAATGTAATCCTTTCAGATTAAATATACCTACATCATATTATACGACAGTGATTCTCGGGAATTTTTGTATTCATAGATTAATAACAATACATGTGATTCGGTATTCAAAATAAACAAAAAAGTCTATGGAAAATCTGTCATCCCCCATATCTCCCCTTGTGAGAACGTCCATTTAATCTTCTTTTTTTTTTTTTATTACATATACGAAAATATCTTGACATACCTAATATAATTTTTTATCTTTTCTAGATAAATAAGAAATATGTTATTTGAGCCGTTGCCTGAGATACATAATCGGATAATTTAGATGTATTTTTTTTAAAAATCGTAATTTATAATATTTATCTAATAGAAATAACAATAACAATAATATTTAATTTATAATCGTATTGTTTAATAAAAGTTACATCTATATCGTTTTCGATCTAAATAAAAAGTTACTGGTCAGTGATAGTTTATTTTTATCTAGGCAATTATTCTAGCCATTCAAATTCCCTTGTATTTATCTATATAACTATTTTAAAACAGGACTTTATACAATATTGTATGAGTAAAAAAAAAATGTACAACTAATTAATAATACTTTTATATTCATATTTTGGTTCCGTTATACCTACCTATACCGTCCATAATATTCCATAGGCACTCTTATACAAATTAGGTATCAATATACCTATTTTAAATACTTTACATTTCGTTGTTGAAATTAAAATAAATACCTATTAAATTAATACAAATGTTTAGGTATTCGAAATGCAAATGAATTCATCTACAGATATTATGGGTACCTACTTACATATGACCAACTATAAACACTATGTATTTTTTTTTTCCAATCAACGAATATTATATTATTTTTACATATATTATTAGTAATCACGTAACATAATATAATACTGCGTTTATCATTTTAGTATTCATTCCGATATATCGAAAGTTTAATCCAATAGAGCGCGTTAGCTCTGTAGTTTGTAAGAAAACGTTAATCTTCCTCGAATAATAATATTATAATGTTTGAATTTTAGATTTAACTGAATTTGTACAAATAAATCATCATTCAAAAAATGTATATTATTCTATTATTGTTTATTACGATTTTATGATTATCTTCATTTTTAATGTAACATTATTATAAATTTTCAACATTTTAAAATTGAAGTTTGATATGTTGCCTATACAATTCCCCTTATTCTTTTAATAATATTAATGTATTTTTAATGTTCATAAAAAGAATATATTGTTATAATCAAATCCGCAATTACAAATAAAGAAGCTACACTTACCCTATTCCTAATAAGGTAACATAAATAATGTATTAATTATTAGTAACATAGTTAATCTTTTTAAAAAATATTAGGAAACAAATTATGTTCATTATTGGTACAAACAAGTATTATTAATGAAATAGACCAAATAAATACACGATGATCAATTTACCATCCTAAATTGGATAATATGAAGTTTATTATCCTTCCCTATTTTAACTGTAAACGTTTTATTCGTTATTACATGCATGAGTATACGGATATTTTAATGATTGTATGGATGGAGTTTTAGAATAAAATCCGATTGTAAGAGTTGTCGCTTTTCGGTTTTTATAGTTATTAGTTTTTCGTTTAATCAAAATTTGAGTATGTAGGAGATTTTATTGTTTTTTGTTTTTATTTAAATGTTGTATCTACGGAACTTTTTATTTTTCTTTGAAGATTTAGTATGTTAAACGCACAAATAATGTAATCTATACTATAATATAAATATTAAATGTAAATTTAAAACAGAATAATATGCATTTCATTATGGACGGATCAAAGAGTAGGTATGTATTGTGTACTAATATATACACAGTTAAATAGTCCGCTTTATTTTTTAAAAATAAAATATCAAATTTAACATCATGTATGTTTTAATTATTTTATCATTATATAATACATAATATATTATTCTCTAGACTCTACCTGAATTATATTTATAAATATGTTCGACTTTTTTAACCCTTTATTATTATTATTATTATTTTAACGTGATATAGATCAATGCGATCATTTTATTACAGTGTTAGGCAGTGGGCAAATAGTAAAAAAATTAAGTTTATTTTAATTTTTAATATAGCTTCTAATCTTTGACATTTTCATTTAAACTTAACTTATTACTTTTATTTATTTTCATTGACTCAATAAATAAACAATTATATTTTGAATTATACCATGTTAAGTCAATTGTATCAATTTGTTGTTACATTAATTGCACATTATTAAATTAATATTCTATATACGTTGATGGTACCAATTTTTTTTTTTTTTTAAAGTGTGTATGAGTTCCAAATTTAAAATAGGTACCTATATGTTCTCAAATTAAATTTTAACTTATCTCAATCAACATAACTTAATTGAGTCAATATTAATTATTATTCGCATTAATTTGCTTAGTCCTGTAATCTAGTTTACATAAAATGTACGATGTGTGTATAGATAAATATTATACATATATGTAATAATAATAATTTATTAGATAAATTATAAAATTTTATTTTGTTATAATTTGTGATACCAAAATACAAAACAATATTCAGTTTAAAATACATAAATGTGGTATACGTAAAAAATAAAAATTAGTATTTTTTAGAATTTAAATTAACTTTATATAATATGATTAATTAATGACTTATACCTATTGGTGTATTAAATAAGGATTCAAATGCAATGACATTATATTTTTTCTGGCATTTAAATCAGTGTTGAATCCAGGTATACTCAAGGGGGGGGCGAATGCCCCCTCTAGAATTTCATTGGCCTCCCCTCCTGAAAAATATAATAACTGTCAACAAGATTTATTTATTAAATGTACAGTACTCGTTACCCTTTCCAATTTATATTGAAATGACCAATGAAAAAAAATTAATCCTCCCAGAGAAATTGTCTAAACTCAACACTGGTTTAAACCATTACCAATGTATTTAGATTATGTAAGTGTTTATTTTAAGTTATAGTGAATTTCACTATAGAATGCTTTTTTTTAAATAAATTATTTTTGTGAAACTTTTTGGAATAATATATATTAAGAATTAATATATTGCCCTTATTGTTTACGTCGTTATAGTTGAAGGTGTAACCACTACCATATTTTGATTTTAAACTCACAACCTATCATGCATTTGTGTAATTATTATTTCAAATTTTATTTTTCACTAAAATTTAATATTTTATATTATATTTTGACGGTACCTATTAGCGTATTCCAAATATTAAAACATTAATTAACACAACTGCTATTGCAGTAAAATTAAAAATTTTATATTATGTTAAACTGCCACATTACGACAGTCCAGATTGTCAACTTATATTCATTTTTGGATGTAATTATAACACTACTTACTATTACAATAAAAATTACATTACAAGTATCCATCAATATACTAATATTATGGTTTTATATTTCCGGTATTTGATCACAGTGTATTCCATATAATATTATATATCTATTCCTTTTTTAGATTCTGAGTGCAACGATGCTTATTTTTTTTCCCCTTTTTCTTTTTATTCTGTAAACAAAATGTCTCCCAGAAAACTCACTCCGGGATTTCAAGTTTAGCACCTTCTTTGAAAAAAATTGTTATCTAGTTTTAAGAAGTAATTTTTTGATTTTCAAGATGTTTTAATAATAATCGAGAAAAACCGGAAAATAAATTATAGGCAATACGGTAAATATTTACGATGTGCCACGGCATTACCGATTTTATGATTTTTAATTTTTGCGAATTATGTTTATATTACATTAGAATTATTGCTTTAGTCAATAAATGTCAAGATACCTTATCTAGACGTGGTAAAGTTTCCAAAATGATCGGACGACCTTTTTCATTTTTAGTTTCAAGCATTTTGAAACCAAATTTAAACGAAAATCGCAAAAATATTTACGGTACTTTAAATTACGTATTACCGAATTGCGCTCGGAATCGTCTTTCTTCAAGATACGGTTTATCGTTGTCTACAGATATAAATGAAATAACATTATGTATCCTACCTTCCCAATTTCTTACCTACAACAGTGACCACTCCAATCCCCAGTATCAGATCTTTTTTTTTTATAGCAATTTAAATATCAACATTTTCACTAAAAAGATAAATACTACAGCCTTTCAAAATATGTATAAACGACCTTCGCTTTGATTCATTTTTCAATAGTAATGAATTATTGTTAAGTATAAATATGATTACATGAATTAAATTCCCAGCTTTTTCCCTACTACAGTGGCCCACCCATATAAGGAAGTATTGTATTTTTTTTTTACCTATATAACACATATTAGTAGTTAGATTTATAGCGTGTTTTAACACGAGATTTAACTTATTTTAATTTTATTATTTATGTATTGATATCAATAAAAACCAAATGGCTTTATTTAAAGCTGTATAAACTATAATTGTATAGCTATATAACTATTGTACATTATTTTATAATATTAGGTATGTATAATTTGTACAAATTATCAAATATGCACGATAATGGAACGGATATAGTGATGACACCCCTAAAACAGTCGTAAACATAACGTTTACACTGTTTTGGCTGTACACGTATATGTGTAGTAATTATTTTTGAATATTTATTAATACAATATTTACATAATATTATTGCTCGGCGTACAAAATTCAATTTACGATATCGCGGTGATCATGTTCAATTTGTCTTATTTTTCTGATTCTGAGCGTATAGTGAAACGTTATCTTTTATAATTTATTTTGTTATTTCGTTGCGATTGAGTTTTAAAAAAGACGGGCATGCTTCTTATGATAGGTGGTCCACTAGTTGTTGCCGATGAGAAGTTGGGAAGGTAGAATATAGAGGGGAATTAAATGTATATCTGTAAGCAAATATTATTTATTGATGAAAAACGATTCTGAACGGAGCTTGGTTAATAGCACTGCTTTTTCAATAATATGTAATACCTCATATTATAGTAAAATAATTATATATTAAAAAATTTGTATGGACCGGTAACTGGATTTTTTTCACATAATTTTTACTAAAACGATTTTTGACAAAATTCGATATTCAAATTCTTATATATATATAAAAAAAAAATACTATATTAAACTCAATTATTTTTGTTTTGACCACAAAGTACGCCTACACTGCTTACGCATTAATACGAGTATGATTTTATACCTTATCAACTTTCAACCTACAATAGTGACACGCCTCATCAGTATTGTACACCTATTTGTGTGTACCTATTTAAAACACTTCAATTGACACCAGTTTACTGTTTTTCTCAAAACACAAAAAAAATCTACTGCTACTATTCGAGGTTTCTACATCTTTATTTGTGTGTGATTACTGTTGGATATTATAATTATGTATAATTCCTAAATTCAAAAAAGTATTTATTCTTATTCAGAGACTATATTATAAAAGCAAATATTTGTTAAGAATAATATATTATACAACAAATATATTTTCGAAACGCCAATTACAATATCATATTAGGTATACTCGTACGTTATTCATTACGTAACATATTTTAACAATTTTTTAAGAAAATACAAATCTCCGCTCTCTATATAACTAATTTTGTATCAAATAAACGAATATTTTACATTTTCTTTGTGCGTGATTGTATTTGTTGGCACGTGGCGTATTTATGAATCGTACGAGAAATACTAATTATTAGTCTGGTCTTCGCGGTGGTATACTTACACGTTTAAACGCGGTATAAACCGATACGGTCACGTATAAAATATTCGATAAAAGTTAATTAAGGTTTCGCGAGGATTGTCCGTGTGGTGACTGTGCACAAGCATAAAATATATGTCGACATAGAACTACGCTACGCACGTTTTGTTGGCGCGATAATCAGCGGCAAATATACGCGTACACAGCAACAGCACTTTAGGCCGTTATTAAATTACATTTCGGGATTATTAATTTAATTTAGCAAAAGTTCTCCATTTTGTATAGCCGCCAATATCCATATCCCTCTGGTCAACGGTATGTATGTAATCGAGTGCCGGCTTTGGCCGAAGGAGCGTAGAAGGGGTGAACAATCAAATAATAATATTGTCTATAGCTCGTACTTGCAATACTTCTATATGTATGTTTCCTATATATTCCCTCAAATATTCGTTCAGTAGGACTGATTTTTTTCTGTTCGTCTCAATATTAAAGTAAATTGACATATTATCAAACTTAAAGGTTAGGAATTGTTTGTACTTTGTTATTTTTCAGATCTTTAAATTTTTTGTAAGATATAGAGATTTTTAATTTGTAATATTTCACAAGTTCATGTCTCGCTTAAAAATTAAAATATCGAATAAAATCAGCACACAAACATTGATAATAATTTTAACCAAAGTCTGATTATAGGTTAATTCTCTCTCTGGCGAAAGCTGTGGATGGAAAGTTTTCGTGCCATTTGTGCGATGGGAAACATAAGAACAAGAGAGAGAGAGAGAGAGAGAGAGAGAGAAATAATAGAACCAGCAGGTGCTTTATCGTGTCGTGCGGAGAGCAACCGACGATAGAAACGCGGTCGGCGGCGGCGATGACGGGCATCGAGTGACCGGGAGTTTTCGGAGAGGGTGAAACAAACAGTTAATACGCATTCAAGTGACGGAGATCCGATTAATGATAAATAATTGAATCGTTTTCGAGTTTTGTTGTTTACGATATAAAACGCAAATTTCCGGACGTCAAATACACGTGTTCGGTAGCCGTGGAAAACATACTGCGCAGCGAACATACGTATAATATAGTATGTTAGGGTCGTCTAGGACTTCTAGTAATTGCATGTTTGTTTTTTGTAGCCAAGGAATTTGTTTCGGCTTAAAAGTGTTATGTTCTAATAATCAGAGTACTCGAAAAAATATAAGACCATATAAGAGGAAATTGTCAAATCACTCAATGAATAAAATTATAATAATAATGTAGTCAGGTCATTTAAATAAGGTTCTAAAATTTCATGAAATATTTAATTTTTATGAAAAATGAACAAAATTCATATAATCTATTTTTAAATTTAAAACCCTAATAGTAACTATGCAGACATATACTTAGGATACTGTATGGTCCTATTCATAGCTTTTTAAGAATGTATTCAACAAAATGGAAACGTCTACAATTAACAAATCTTAACAAATAGTTCAATCTTTTAAATTGTTGACATTATAGGTGTTAGTTTATTACTGCAAAGAGTCAATTTTAATATATATATAATGTGATAGAAATTATATATAATATATATACATATTATATATATTATGTATATTATGTAAAATTATATTTGTTATTATATGAATATAATATTTAAAAGGGTGTGCAAATATAAATATTTATTTCATAATTATAATCTCTATTTTAAGTATTTTCTAATATTTCTAAACGCAAATTAGATAATAATATATTGTCCTGAGATGGTTTCCCAACGTGTAGCTATAGGGAATATTATTGCGAGGCAAGCTATTAAAAGTAGAAAACTATGTAAGCAAACAGGAGCACCGTATACAGGGGGGCTCACCCCATGAGCTTGATAAAATATTTTTCAGCCCCCACGGTTTTCATATTATAAAAATAAATAAAATCAATATTTGTCATGTACATCCTCAAAATAATAATTTTATTTTTAACAAGTTAATTGAGAAAGAAACGTTTTATATATATATATATATATATATATATATATATATTGATATCAGAGAAAAAGTGTAGATTTTGGTAATCAACCAGGTTCTTAGTTAAATATGGTGTCAGGCTTTTTAAAATGTTTGTGTTGTGATTATTCATGATGTTGATACTATTAAAATGTTATAACATTCAAAACAACAAATAACTATATTTTAGTAATTGTTCAATGAACAATTTAAGAAAAATAAAAATATGAAATGTAAAGTAAGCAAATGTTAAGTTATTGTAAGACAACCTAAAGAGATTTTTGCTAAACACGGAGTATAGAAAATTATATACAGGAAACTATACATACAAGTATGTTGATAAATTACAGACAAAATTTTATAAAAAAAACGCCGTATTCAGTGACTTTTATCATTTTTAATTTGCAGTAGTACACAAATTTTTGTCACGACTATTAAATATTGTTTGAAATGTATCTGAGTTTTACTTCACCTTAGTATCATACTATCATTAGCCATTCGATTATTAACCTGAAACATTAAATATTACTTCGTTGGGCATATTATAGATAATACAATATTATTTCTCATCGTACTAAGCAAAGGTATTTATTGCCGTACAATTTTGTTTTGTGCCGAAATAATATTTTACGAGTATAAATATAGTGATTATTATTAAAGAGCGTACGAAATATCGTATTCCAGAAGAATGTTAAGAATACACTGGACTGATAAAATATCAAATAAAGAAGTGTCAAATCATGTATCGGAAAGAATCATACATACTAGAATAGTTTATAAAACAGACAACAAAAGATGAGGGAAATAAATAGAGTAATGCTGGCAAACAGAAAGAGAGAGAGAAAGAGAGAGATGGTATTGACAATAAATAAATAATATGATACCTAGTTTTAGAAGATTGGGGGTTTCTAAATTCCTAAATACACCACATGGTGATCAGAGCCGGTATAGTTGCAGTAATAGTAGTGAATGACATAACTGGATACAAATCAAAGGGGACAGGAGCAAAAAAATGTATTCACCATAATCAAAACCTTGAGTTTCCTACCCAGTTTAAATGCATTTTTATTGTATGTATTATATACGGTATACCTAACTATTTGTTTTTACACAAGTATTAAAACTCATTTTATGATTTAGAAATAAATTGTAGGTAGCAGGTACTTAGATATCCATATTTTTAAATAATATTAACCTGCATAAGAGTTCATTAATAAAAAGGTGGTGTAAGTAGTTTAAAAAATTAACTAGTATAAATATTATTTACACATATTTTATATTGGTGAATAATAAATTATTGCAGTCTTTCTTAACTTAAGAAAATTTAAAGATTTGTACTGTTGGATTATCCGGGGAGAAAGGAAAAATGATACCTTTACCACCAAAAAATGTCAGAGGGGAAAGTACCCCCTCGTTGCCCCTCACAGTTACGCTACTGATAGTAGTAATATAAGTATAGTAATAAAGAATAATTGTATATTACATAGCATTCTAGAAAAATCCATACCGTAGTCGAGGTGTCCGGATCAGTAAAAAATATAAAAACGTACTCTAAAAGAACTCCGAATAACGTCACGGAATTATTTATACAATGTTTTGCGCTTTAAGGTCTGCTATAAGGTGGCGTAGAGATTCTACGAACGTGTAGAAAGAGAGTGGGTTGCAAATGGGTGGGGGTGCGAGTCGATAAAAAAAAATACGCAGTCACCGCGGAAACGTTTCTCGCTGCCCGCCCATTCACGACGTCGACAACGATACTAAAAATAATTTACTACCTCTCGTTGAATAACTATTATACGAATAGCGAAAGGTCATCACAGAAAATAATACTTTTCGATATGAGCCCGACAGAAGTTAGAAAACAAACGAAAAAAAAACACCGATAAGAACTAAAGCGAATTCCCATTTACAAGAGAAAAGTCTCAAATTGAAATGTTATTTTTCCAATATAACGCGAATCTTTTTTTTTGTATTCTCGTACATTTTAGAGCCATAACTATAGTCGACCATGTTTTGGAGCTTTGTATTGCCTCCACCCAACCACCCTTTTTATTTGACTCCTAACGCAAAACTGGATTTGCCAAAATGTTGTGTATTATAATAATAGTAAAAATTATGTATAATTGTATTAATTACACAAATATGCGATATTTATAATATAATAATAGTAATCACATTCGACCTGCACGCCAAATAGTTGTTTCGGTATATCGAGCCAAAAAAGCCAAAAAAAAAAAGCAAGCATATACATTTTTTGGATTGTTTTTTTTTTTTTTTTTAATAATCATAACAATAATATTACTTTAATAATGAACGTTTTTGGAAAATATTCTCAGTTATTATTTTATTTTATTTTTTTTTCATTGGATACGACGAAAACTTTTCGAGTATTTTTATTCGATTAACAATATAATAATACTGATTTTGTATACTGATATAGGAAAACGATTTAATTTTATTCGATTCCTAACATTTTTATTTAATTATAAATATAGTGGTTGCTGCTTATTGTGTTCAGATTTTCGGTTGTTGTTATCAGAAATAGAAATTATACAATAATAAACAAAAGGAGGAAAAGCCTAACAATTGTGATTATTAATTTACAAACCTTATCTAATCTAATGTAAGTGTAATACACTTAAAGCCTCCCCCCCATACACTGTCAGTCTTGACTATCAATTACGTTAATTGTCATTCAAGACTGACTGTATATGTATATGACTGATAATGACTGCCAGATTGGCAGACACATTTTATGACTGATGAAATTCAAACCTATGGCGCAACTTGCGGGTAAGTTTGCAAAATGAAACTTTAAGGCCCCGATAAATCTAACCAAAAAAAAATAGGCAAAAATCACTGACTTTTTGAAAAAACTTATATTGTATGTATATTTGTTATATTATTTTTATGAATACACAATTATTTTTCTAATAATTTTTAACTGTTTCTCGAGTCGCCATATATAGTTATTTCCGGTTATAGTGATTAAAATACTCTCGGACGAATGCGATCATTTTAAGCAGTGATCACTGTACTTTGGTTCAATAACTATTGTTCGATTTTTACTCGTTTACTGCGAATTTATGAAATAATTTCGAATTTATTGATAAAATTCCATTTTAATATTTCTGCAATAATAATTAATCGTCTGATAAAAGTTTATTGCATTTCAAGGGATTGGGGTAAACAGTTTCGAATCGGCATTTAAAGTGGAACTGTTGTATCAATTTCAATCAAATATTGTACTTTTTACTATATTCAGTTTTAAAATATCGGAGTATTTTAAAGGGAAATTATACGGTATAAATATACAGTTTTCAGCATTAACGAATAATAATTTTCATCGATACTATAGTACAAATGTGTTCAATTTTTTGTGAGGACTGGGCCACATCATATAAATAGAAGTAGTTGTGGGACAAATTCATTTTATTTATGAGTTTACCATAGCGAATAATGAGTAGACATATTTTGACGAACTATTATAATGTATTATTACAAGAATAAAATATATATATTTATGATTAAAAGAAAACAATTTTAAAATAATTGTATGGTTTTTTAATTACATTAGTTTCTTTATCACTATAGGATCCTGATAAATATAATACTTGCATTTAATATTGTATACTACTAAGTACCTAATATTTAAACTTTTTTTAATTTTTAATATTTTGTAGTTTTATGATCTTAAAAAAAATGTTTTCTCATAATATTATGTATAATTAATTGACGATTTGAAATTAAAGTGAGGATCATATTAAAATCTAACGTGGGCACCCCTATATATAGTATATACAAATTTTCGGAAAGATTATAATGGTTCTATTATTTATTTCTAGCAAGTGAAAACCAAAAATAATCAATCCAATTATTAATTATAATACGATAAATGATAAATGAAAAATATTTTAGTCGTTGTTTATATTTTTATGAGGTTCTAGATTAACTTACGTCAGTTTTGACTCTAAAATACAGAACACGTGTAGAGTTATGATAATGAAATTAAATGAAACATATAATTTTTCATATTACATAAACCATATAATTTTTGACGCAGGTTAGAAATGTTCAGTATCAAAACTCGCATGATCTAATGAAACTTGTTAGTTTTAACACAAACCACTACATTTTCCGGCTGAATTTAGAACTATTCTTGTGCGTTTTGAAATCGACCGATTCACATTTAAAAATCCTATAAAACAGTGTCACCTACTAATTTTTCCATTTTTTGGAACATAATAATTTTGATTCTAGTTTTCCTAATTAGTCAAATCATTTTTTTTTTTTTTATAATGATCGTTTATTAAACAATATACATACAAGTAATTTGTAAAATATTTTGGTTTATCTTCTGTCTATAAGTAAAGCTTGTATTGAAAGTAGAGAGTTATTTTTTTATTGTTTATACAATAAATATATTTAAAATAATTAAGTAAAGTCAAAATATAAACTAATTTCATAACTATATAATTCAGACACATAAAAATTGAACAAAGATTTATTTATTTTAATATTTTTATCACTATTGATAGTTTTTAATGAAAAAAGTTTAGTGAAATATTGATACAAATAAAGGTTCGACAAGTTAGTTATAAGACGTATTGTGAAAGCATGAACAATTTTCATAACTTAAAAAAATAATCTAGAGAACTTATGCCAGCTTATACCTGAGTATATTAGATAAGTCTATGCTCTGATCATTATCAATAGTATAATATTAAAAGTATGTTCATCATCTTGATATTTAATTATTAATATTTCAAAGGAAACTTACCGGACAAGGGATCGGACTCTGCAGACTGCAGGCAATCGATCAAAAATATCGCAATAGATTAGAATAATAAAAACTATACAAAGTGTGTGTGTGCGGTTTTCGACGGCGAAAAAATGAATTATCATTTTTCATAATAATATTATAACAAATAATATGAAAAATGACGTAATAAAAAGAAAACCCCTTACAAAAAATAAAAAAAATAACCTTTCACTTTATTGCATGCAGCCATTGGCGTTTTTAGATTTTTCTTTTTTTTTTTTTTATAAATTCAACCCAACGTAGCCTAAGTCTGTTCCTCTATATATGTATAATATATACGTACATATTATTATTATTATTATAATATTTGCCCCGTCCCGAGTAATTAGTATTTCGTGACCGGCGTCCGGGGGCTTTGTAATTAGACCCTCACAAGAGCTGAGAGGGACTACGCGCCTCTCTCAGAATCCCCCGAGAGAGGGAAACATGGCAACTCGTTTTTCAACCTTTTCCCGACACTTTTCCCGGGGTCTTTTTTTATATATACGCGTATATATATTTACGTACGCGCGCACACACACATAAGCACACATACACACGCACACACATACATACATACCCCAGACCGACCACGCCCAAGAGCGGTCTCCCCGCCCGCCGCCATCGCCGCCGACCGGTCCTTTTTTACTTTTTTACCTCCCCTCGTCCCCATATATGTCCATCTTCTCCTCCTCCGCCCAAGGATTTTCCTCTGTAATTTTTTTCATATCTACCCCCCGGTACCCCGCCCAACCAGAGAGCGCTTGCACTGCACACACGTATTTATATATACATATACCTTCTCTGATGGTCCGGGTTTTTTTTTTTTTTTTTTTAATAGGGGAAAACTTTCTGTTGGATTAGTGACGCTGCCAGTATTCGACCCGTCTGTAAAAAAACTCACACACGCACGCGCTGTCGGCCGACCGGTCGGCAAAAAAACGTGTATAAAGGGAAAATGTTTCTCTCAACTTTTTACCCTCTGCCTTTGGACCGTATTATACTCGTGTATATATATATATATATATATATATATATATATATAGGCGCACATGCGCAGAACAAAACTCGCATTTTCTCTCTCCGGGGTTTTTTCACATAAAAATATATGTATAAAATACGCTAGTGTATACATTGTACGACGAGGCTCGTAGTTACGATTCCGCGGTGAATTTAACGGTATAACGTATTATAAATCTTTGTTAGACGACGAACGAGCGAAAAAAGAATAACAAATAAAAATGAGACAGCAATAAAACTTTGTACGCACTCTGCATGTGCATATATCATGGGGTATACGCGTTGAGTTGCAATGCGTTTCTATGGATGGAATTTATATATTTATTTTGTTTTTTTCATTCAGTGATGCTATGCTATTTTCTACGAATAATTAAAAAAAATAAAAATAAAAAACGCACACAAATTGAAAATCGCCACGATGTGCGAGTTTTTTTTTATTATCGTATACTTAGGCGCACTGTACACAGCGCTCTGTATTTTTTTTAATGGTGTACTATTGTATACGCGATAATATTCTGCAGTTATGTATATACGCAAGTATACGTATTATAGTAATATTCGGTAAAAACCATTTTGTTTTTCACGAATAAACGCACGCACGCACGCGGATCTGTACATTTATCCCCGATAATAATTTGTATAGCTAATACTCGTAAACTTTGATTGTGTATATGTTTTTTCATGTTCTATATTATTTTTTTAAACATATATACCTATATTATACCTGGTCACATTCGTAAAAAAAGGGTTTTTTTTTTTAATAGTCTCGTTCAAATCTTGTTATATCATCGCGGTCATAGATTATAGAGATTATAATTTCCTACTGAAATGCGTACTTCTCAAACTTGCATTATTATTGGTTAATAAAGTTTATAATATTATTTTATCCTCGTTTGCAAATATTCATTAACTTGACGTCTTATTTCAGCATTTAAAAATATAAAATATTAACTATGCTCATATTCTTACTTGAGTTATACAAATCTGTATTCTTTTGTGGAAGATTCATCGAAGACTACACATTAATATGTTTTTAAAACATTGATAAGTTAAAAATAACCTCTAATTTTAAACAAAACGTTTAAATTTAGACAGTATAGTTAACGGGTAATTAAAACAGATACAAATGTAATGTGATTTGAGTATTACAATATATGACACACTCTATATGTAAAAAAAATGCCTACACATCACAAATATACAATACAAAACAAAAACTGATAATGTTGTAGGTGGGAAAGTAGGATAATATATAATGTTATTTAATTTATACTTCTGAGCGAAGTTTATAAATGAAACCATAATTTCTATACATTTTCTCGTTCTTTCCTCGTTTTTTCCGGTTTTACTTAATTATAAAGAAAACCATATGCAAAATCAATAATAATAATAATAATTTTAACTAACACCCGCAAGAGATAAGGTACAGCGATATTTCAATGCTTAAAAAAAATGAATTTTAAATGAAAAATAAAAGATATAATTAAGTAAATACAAGCCATTTTAATTTAGAAGACGAATCAAAATAAAAATAAAAATTGACAAGTTCATTACATGTCTTAGGCAAATAGTATAGCGGACTATTTATAACGTAATTTCGATTACTAGGGGGGGGACATAAATATATAATATATTTCTAAAAGCGGGGTTTTTACGACTAATTTGTGATAAGAACTCCGAACAATCAAACATACCAAAATAATAAAAAAAAAAGTCTCGTTGTTTTTCGATTAGACTTGTATTTCTCGATGAGAAAAAAACCGAAAAATTTAAAATAATGAAATCATTACTCATTAAATTTATTTAATCGGAATTATTAAATTTAAAATCAATTATTTTGTATAAATATGTTATGGCTAAAATTCAATAACGAGTAAGTGGCGGGGCCCAAGTGCAACTCATTCACAATTTTCTAATCTACACATTTTATTAGATTATTTTCCTACTGTTTCCGTATAATCAGTAAGTACGTCCTAAAACCACTGTTTAATGTACAGGTTGTAATATTTTTCATTTCCAAAATGTTTACATAAGGACCTTCAAAATAATATTTTTAATAATAGCTAATCATTTTGTAAGCATATTTATTGATTGCAAAATGTTTACCCCCAATAACCAATAATAAGTGAATAAATCATTATCAGCTATACATATTCAAATATTTATAATTATTACGTTTTTAATTTTAAATTCTGAGTGAAGCAAAGAAACAATGGTTTTACAAAGATGTTTTATTTTATCTGTTAATAACTTTTCTACCAGCGATTTCACTTCAATTTTTAACGATAGCAATGTTTCTAAAAGAAAATTTCTCTAGGACGGTACCTTAGAGAGGTCATTTTTCGATTTTCTCAAGAGTTTTCCCAGCAAATTTGAAAAACCGGGATAAAAAATGGGAAACCGGAAAAAACGTAAGAAAATTGAGAAAATCGGTACACATTATTAAACAAATACTATTAAAGAAAATATATAAAGCCTATTCAATTATTTAACTATAGAATGACATATATATTGTTGACAAAGCATCACTATCAACTGAACTCCGCTCAGATTAGGTTTTTCGTAAGCAATGGCTTATCGTTTCTAGCAGCTACACATTAAATTATTTATAACAGTGACTGCATCCGTCATTATTACCCTAGGACGTCGTTTTAATTATATTATTAGTAAACAAAAAAAAAACTATAAGCAATACATTTTTCAGAAGTAGAATAATATGTTTTATATGTTGAAGTAAAAAATGACCATTGTGCTTATTTAACTGGTTATTAAAACAAATTTTAACTCAAAGGTAAAATGTAAATGTCATATTATAAGGAATAGTCCCTATATATTATATAGACGTATAAAAGTATTAAATATGACTACGTGCCCGTGTTTTATTGATTTATTTAGTCTACATTAAACTGCGAGTATATAAAACGATGGAAATGGGTCACAGTAAGGCATATCAAATGAATAAACATTTTCTCGCCGACTATAGAATATTCTACGGTATATAATATGGTATATAGATATAGTAATTATTTGAAATACTGCTGCAGTAACGAGACGAGAACGCGATTATTGTATTCATAAGTGAATTATAATATTTTAAATTACTACAGTAATTGTATTCGTTTTATAGTACGGGCAGTAACGTACGTATTTCTGTTCGCCGCATTATTATTAATGATGAACATAAAACTATATTTTGTAAATATGTATATATATACCTATATTTTTATAATTAACTTACTGCAGTGTATTAACCGGAATATTAATAAGACAATTTTTAATTATAATCGCTATCATATTCAATAATTAAAAATACGTAGGTAGTATATTTTATCGGTCTACATAGTGTATATGAATCATTTGCATATATATATATATATATATATATATGTATATAGCATAAACGTTAATATATGTAATTTATTTCGTGGAATCCAGAGTGGTTTTTTTATTTAGTTAATCAATTATTGTTATAACAACAAAATAACTGCGAAATATGGAAATTATAATTATTTTTCTCGAACGCTCAAATCGATTTAACTATTTTTTTAGATTCCGAGCTTAGTGAAACAAACTATAGCATAGTTTTATTATAAAATGTGTTTCATGTTATTTCGGAAAACACCTTTTTTGTTAGTAAAAATGCTAAGATGCTTTCACACTGCACACTTAAACGTTTTGGATTTTTCGCCTGATAGTTCATTATTTGAAACTTTCTTCTAGCTTCTTAACAATTTTTTCTAAAATAAAAAAAAAACCAAATAAATAAACTGACAACAAAAGACGATAATACTGCTAAGGATTACAAAGGAGGAACACAATCAGTATTAGATTAGTGAATTTAATTTTTTTTTTTTTTTACTGCAATAAATTATCGTTGCTTTCATCAGCAACTTTTTTTATTCGTTGTTTGATTTTGTACGTTATCGTGATTTTAATGCAAACATATTATTCCGATTAGTTATATTTTTCAGATCTCACCAACCTTTATTTGTCAGGTATTTTCTGTGTGTTTTAATTTGGTTTATGTAGCGAATAGGAAGCTTACCTTTGTTGCTTTTTCTTTCGATTTTTTCTTGTATATTAAACTTTTCAATACCGTTTTTTCTTATCATTTAGTCAACCAATTTAAGTATTTAAAATTGAATTCTGTACAAGAGGCAGTTTTAGGCTTGTATTGAAAGTTCTTATATTATTGATATTTTTGTTATACGGTCTGTCCATATAGTATTCGCACCATTCTTCTATTTATAGTTATTTTAAATGCTTCTATTCTTCATTAACCAAGCCATACTTCATTATAGAAAATATTAGTGTTTTCATTAAGTATAACTTGGTTACCTTCTTGATATTACTATCCTTCCATATTTTAACAATTTGTAATAGCAGTATTCGCCATACAGACTCTTAATTTTATTTTAAAAACATCCATTATTAATTGTCTTTATGACCTATTTTTCTATTATTTTAAAGAAATTAGTCATTTCCATTTCTGCCTTTACCAGAAACATCATATCATCAGCATATCTTAAACTTTAAATTTTCTTACCACCAATGGACAATTCCCTATTCCATTCTCGCGTATCTTTTTTAACTATCCATCTATTTGTTATGAATAAGGATGTATATGGACTCATAAAATTTCTTTGGCCATTCACCTATAATCCATACCTTGGAGCGAACTTTGTAGATTATATCAATCCCTCTTCCCCCGATTGCTTTTATCGTTTCAGAGATAACGTCATCTGAACCAGTAGTTTTGTTTTGAGTTTGATTATATTTTTATATTTATCTCAATTTCACTTTATAGTTAATAAGGGGGCCCATACTTCAATTTATTTAGTGTATACATTTTCAGTATACTCGTTTAAACTTAATTATTCGATGTCTCCTATAACTATTTGAAACTTTCATCTATAGCAGTGGCCTACCTTAGTGATATTAAGATGTCCAGCGTTTTTAGATTCTGATAGTATGATGAAAGAAGCTACATCTGCAATTTGTATAAAGATATTTAATAAAATAATAAAGTAAAAACAAAATTATTAAAAGGGTTAATATAAGTAAATAAATATATAAATAAAAAATGTATAAATTTAAAGATAGGTATGTGTTTTTTTATTTTATTTGAAAACATATTAGCAGTTAACAAAAATTATCTGCTTTGTAACGTAATGCCTTAAGAGATGTGGATATTTCCGTTGGACGTACGTTATTTGAAAAAAAACAATTTGGAATACCCTTTACTTTTACTAAACATTGATTTGTATTTTTTTTTATTGAAACAACATTTTTCTAATTTTGTTGATTTCTGAGTTACCTTTTTGATAACAGGGGAAAAACACGATTAATACTATTCCGATCAGAATAGATTTTTTTAATTTACATTGATTTACCATTGCGTACAACATCCTATCTTCCCGACAATCGATCTACAACAATGGCCTACCCGTAAGCATTATATACTTTTTTTTTTTATATAAAATAATTATATTTTTGCGAAAAATAAAAATAGCGAGTAGTTTGTGTAATTATTGTAAAAATAATCGAACAATCCATGTAAATTGATTCGCGCGCGGCAAATACAAATGCCGTTTAATGAACGCGCTGATATTTTGATATTTTCGAACGGTAAACAAGTATATTTTAGAGAAATTTAATATTGTTCTTGTATATACCATAACTGTTTTATGAAATGTGTGTTTTTATCAACAATGTTATTCTTTTTGAAACGAATTACGCCGTTGTATTGATGATAAATACGTTAAATATGCGGTACTTATAATAAAATATTTTCATAAACACTCTTGGATATCAAAGATTTCATCAGCTATATTTAACGATACTATTATTATTTTGTGTTATACTATATGCCTTTTGGTGGTAGGTATACATATATGTATATTGTATAATGTATGTATATATATATATATATATATATAGTATAGCGGTGAAAAATAACTCCCTCAATCCCCTACTTCATTAACACACCAATGATTTCACACAAAAAAGATACCCGTTCTTTTCATATAATATAATAATATTTTACTGCATTTGATGGAAATTTTAATGAAGCGATAAAAAAACCTCACCCTCCCCCCCCCGCCGGCCACAACCGTTACACAACGTTCGTGAGATAGAACTTAAAAAACATAATCATTTTGCACGCGGCTTAGTTAGTTAAATAAATACAAAAATATATATATATAAGTATATATTTTATATTTTCAGAACAATGTGATTGAAAAAAAAATCAAGTTATCAATTTATCATATTATTGTATATTTTTATATTTAGTTTACAATTACTGTATTTTTTCACATTTTTTCACTCTTAATTTATGTTGTATAAAGCAATAATAGTATATATTAAAAAATCCGGTTGATATACTTTTCGCCGTAGGTAATTTAATTATATATGCTTAGTGTAATGATAAACCATTGAAATCTAAAGAACGATTCATTTAGGAGTTTAGTAAAATAATAGGTAATAATTAATAAGATTATTACATTCGTTGTATTAGTTATGTCCCACCTCTCTGTATCTAATCAAAGTGTAATCTAGGAATTATCAAATACAAAACCAATACGCCATGGTTCGTTGTCAGTTTTTTTTTTTTTTAAATGTCTAGAAAACGTTGTCTAATTTTGAAAGTTCTGTGTGTAAAATATCAGCAAACAATTTCATTTGCCAAATGTTAAAAAAAAAAAAATATCATAGTAAAACAAGACAGTAAAAAAATGACAGTATAACACAAAATCTAAAAAAAAAATGTAACAAGTTGGGAAGAAATTAAAGTGTTTAAATAAAAAATGTTAAAATTTAAATAATAATTTCATTTACATTTACTTAAAAATTTGGAGTGTAGCGAGAAATGTATTGGTTATACAATGATATTTATTTTTTTATCTGTGAACAACTTTTCTACTAGAAATCTTGCTCTGATTTTCAAATGTAACACTTTTTTAAAGGAAATTGGACTATGGTGATAATTTAGAATGGTAATTTTTTGATTTTCCAAGTGGTTTTCATAATAATGTGAAAATATCGGGAAAATGTACGTGCATGTATAAAAGAAACTTTGCTCCGAATCGTTTTTTATTTGCGATGGTTTATTGTTTTGTACAGATATAAATTAAATTATCTTCTACCTATCCTACCTTTTCGATTTCTCACCTACAACAGTGGCCCATTTATCGTACGAAGTATGCCCGTCTTATTTTATATTTAGCCGCAACTAATTGTTATTTATAAAGCATAAAGGTTTAAGTGATATTTTAATAAATATTTAATTTCATGTACAATATTTTTTGTACAATATTAATAAACATTTTACTTTACCTAATTTTTAGGGGGGAAAACGATGTGATATAATATTGATTTATTTCATATTTATACAATAATACCGATAAATTAAACGAGGTGTTCATATAGACAAAACGGTTTATTATTTTTTTTTTCATATATATAACAAACGAATTAAATTTTACACATACGTATAATTTACATGTGTTTTCATAGAATATAGTGGAAACACATGTTAATTTTAGTATTTATCATATAAAATGGTAATATAATTTACCTACATTTTCGTAAAACAATATTATAATCGTATGAAATTAAATAACACCAGTATTTTATTTCTTGTACACGCTATAATAAATTAATTGTATAATATTAAACACTATTATGGAAATCAATTATTTTCATGTATATATTTCAGATTCTGTGCGAAGCAGGGATGTGTTTTTTTTTTTTTATGTCTATAAACAATTTTTGTATCAGAAATTTTGCTTTATTCAAAAATGTAATAAGTACTTTCTTGTATAATTTTTTATTAATTTATTGTATCGAAGAGGTTATTTTTGGATTTCCATTATAGTGTTCTTAATAAATGAGAAAAACTGGAAAATTATTTGTACAATTTTTATTGATATCCGATTTACTTCTGCAGCAAAGGACTACTTCTACAACTTATAAATCTCTGATCAGAATCACTTTTCATTAACAATGGTTTATCATTGAATACAGATATAAATTTAATTGATCTAAATATCCTCCCTTTCAGCTTCCCTTATAAAATACTTGAATATCCATCAGTAGTTGAGGATTTATTTTTTTAACTTCGTATATCAAGTTACTTAAGATTTTGTTGTTAAAATTCAATATTCCAAATACTTGTAATATTATGGGGGAAAAAACCGTTATCAACTTTTTGTACAGTTTATTTTTAAATAGTTTTTATGTTTGTATGCAAGTGTGTATACAGATATTGGTCAATTATTATCGACAAATTAAACGGTTTTTGCCTTTTTTTTTTATTCTCTCGGGACGATGTCGTTCAGCCGATTAATATATTACTAATGGACTCGGCAGCTGCCTGTTGGTCGAGTATATTTACTCATCATAGCCGATTTTTTAGTAAGCATATTGATATTCGGTGCAACACCGATGGTATCTGAAGTACTTATATATAGGTAGGTATATGTAGTTAATGTAGTTAAATATATTAATTTAAGGGGTTAGTTGTTTAATATTTATTTTAAAGTTTTCCTCTTTGTATGCTATTTAATAGAATAATATATTTATATTATAGATTGGTGATACCAAACAATTAGAACTCGATACTCGATTTTTAATATTTTTTTTTTATAATCGAAAACAAAATACACAAATATTAATATATTATTCATTAATTTATCATTTTCAAAACTATACCATTGATAATTTAAATGTAAAAACACACAAATAAATTAAAAAAAAAAAAAAAAAAACACTAATTTATTTTATTTGATCAGATATTTATCCACAACGTTATCACTTCGTATTTCAATATAATAACACGTAAAAATCTATGACAAAAATTACCTTAATTTTGATATTCGATACTGTTTTGCGTATCGAAGGTATCGAGTTATCGAATCGCTCATCATTCTGCATTTATATATGTATTTATTTATCGCTACTCTTGGATACTTAATAGTTCGTTCTAGACCAAACCAGCTTAAACTCGGTAATTAGGGTTCTTTTTTAGGTAGATTGAAATAATAAAATTTGGGTCGAGTTTCTATATGAATTTCACAATATTGTAGTAAAAGAAAAGTATTTTTTTTAGTGCTTTAAACATTTTAAAAAATCCTACCGACCTCCATTCCCACCGAAAGAAGTAATTTTTTGAGAAATAGTATACTTAGCCGTAGTAAAATAAATTGTATTCGGTTATATAATGTTTTACGAAGAATATTTCTGTACTATAGAAATAGATATGGAAAAACTGGACTCTATAGGGCAGAGTTCTACTGCTCATGGGTGTATTTTTCAATTTCCAGTTTGCAACGTCTCTGAACTTTTCATTTTATCGGATCGACTCCTAAATTATGCCAAAAAATAAGAAACTCTTAAATTAATTTTCGAAATTACCAAATTGCCGTATCATCGGCAAATTTAATTAAAAAACCAGGTGGTTATCGTTTTAGGTATACCAAGAAACAGTGCTTCGATGACTAGATAATATAATACGTACATAGCTACATACATATTTTGTAACTAATTATGTACAGAGCTGAATTTAGAAATGTTGAATCCAATTGCAAAACAATTGCCCACTCCCTACTTTTCTATATTTTTCGATTACTATAAGAAAACTGACTTTAATTTTATTCATTCCAAATTTTAATCAGTTTGGAATTCGTACAAAATGTTTTATATATTACCGTTACTTTATTTCCTAACTAATTATTATTATATTATACCAATTTTGTAATAAATTACAACCTCCGAAAATTTAATACATGGGACGGTTGACCCTTTAATCTCCCCCCCACTCAAATTTAGTCCTATCTATGTATATACCTATTTGTAATACATATAAATAATGTTCATTTATGTTGTATACAATTAAAATGAATTAAAATTATAGTATTATTTCAATAATTGTTAAAATTTTAATATAAGTACATATAATATAATATATTTTTCATAATATAAACTTAATTAATTTATATTGTTTATACTCATCCTTATAATCAATATCGAATACATCAGAAAACTCGCTTACTTTATTTTATCTGTTTATAGCATTTTTTAATGATATTTATTATGTTAAACGTTGTTATTTTATATATTTTTTGTATGCGTATTATTTTCAATATAATAGAATTATACTCGAGTTCTATCGTTTTTTCGTATACCTAAATACGCTGATAACCCGATTTAGAATTTAGTTCATTAATTATACAACGATTTGTTAATTTCGAAAATATTGCGGATTACGAGAACCTTCGATCTGTGAACATACGAATACCTATATAATATATATCTACCGTGAGGCCTTTTTTTTTTTTTTGTCGAACGATTTCAGCGTTTATTTTTTAAGGGATACCGGTCAAACGTAAACTCGCTATACCGGATAAAATACGTATAGGTACGTAATCCGGGTGGTGTTAGGGAATTGATGCGGTGTGGTGACGATCGTGCGTATCAGGAAAACGAGAAATTATCGCGATATTCGAGGGTGACCTGAAAGCTTATACGTATATAAACGCCGACGGTTGGTTTGGGATTTCGTCCGATACAAGACTCGGGAAATAAAAATAATTATTATTATTATCATACACAAGGTACGCCCGTATTTCTTCCTCGCAGGCGAAACTTTTAATATTATTCTTTTTTTTTTTCGTTTTCGTGTACTGCGTTTTCCGCACGAGTTTGCGCACAAAGCCCGCGGCCCGCACGCTTTATCGACTGAAAGATGGCCGACGCTCCGGTGGCTTTACCCTAAAAACTACCCTTGTGTTAAGGGATAGTGGGGCGTATTATATGTGTTATATATACGCGTAGAGTAATACTACCGCGCACTCCTACCTCTCCTCTCCCCTACCTCTCTCCCCCTCTTCTTCCTCTGGGCTCACCGACCAGGTCCCTTTAAAGGATTGCAAAACTAAGGGCTTTTTACCCTTTTTTTTTTCGCCGCGGTCCAAAGCGATTTATTTTTACCCGGACCAGAAGATAACGCCGTAATGTTTGCACAGTACTACGCGCCGCCTGTCCCGTTCGCAAAACAAAAAAAAATAAATAAATAAAAAAAAGGGTCCACTCCTCCCTCGCACCACTTGTGCGCAAGAATTTCAACCCGGCAGTCATTAACGTAACGCTACAGTAAGCAGGATTTTTTAATATACGATTTTTTTTTTTTTACTACCCCGACCGAACAGTTTTTTTTTTGTTTTTTGTTCAGCTCACTTCCGTTTAATTTATTGCGAGAAACCCCGGGAAAAACTCGGCGGTCCCGGCAGAATTATTGTCCGGGAAAAACGTCCTGCTATATTATACCGTTTCTTTATGTGCAGTCTCTAATTCAACTCGACTGAAAACTAAGCGAGACACATTATTCAACCGGAAAAACCTCCGAACCCGCCAACGCCGCCGTCCTGTTATTTATTCCTCTCAGAAATCCGGAATAAGCCGGACAATAACGAAACACGTCAAAAAAAAAAAAAAAAAGGAAAAAACCTATTATAAATAATTAAATTTTTAGCCTGCTACAATCCTCCCCCCTTACGAGTATTATGCACGATATGCAACATCCTGGAATTAATATTATGTCCCATTACTGTACTATGTGTCTTTATCGTTGCTTTCTGATGTGAAAATACATTTTCCATTTTGTTAAGATTGGAATAGATATTATTATATTTTATAATCATTCCGTAGATAGCATTATTTTTCACGATGAATAAAATATATAATTTTAAACTAAATAAGTGTGTCGAGTAATAGGAATTTTCCAATACCGGGGTTGTTGTTTAAAATATAATATTCCTCTGGATCAGTAATTATTTAAAAAAATCCACTCTAAAGTACCACTCAGAGAACATTTCCTTTCTAAAAAGGTCCTATACTTGATATTCGGAGAATGGTTTCTGGTTGAAAATATGTTTACATAAAAAATAAATAAAAATAAAAAACATTGTAAAACCAATACATTCCTCGCTCCACTCAGAATCTAAAATAAGGTTATCATTGGCAACCGTTTTTATTTATTTTTTATTATCATTAAGTTTTTATTGTTTTAATCTTTTATAAACAATCATTGTAATAATTGTACCATTATATGGCATATACCATATATTGTACTGTTGACAAAGCAACACTATCAACTGAACTCCGCTCAGAATCGTGTTTTTGCTAGCAATAGCTTATTGTTGCTTACTGATATACATTAAATTCCTATCTGTATCCTACCTTCTCAACTTCCCACCTACATTTATGTCTGCGCCCACGTTCGAAATATGTCTGTATTTTTTATATTATTTATATAATTGTATGCCAAGAAAATGAATATATTATTATATAGGTAGTGTTCCTTTCAAACTCATACTATTACTTATTCCACTTTGCACAACCTTCTATACACTACATTTAAAATGAGATTCACCAACAATTCATGTTTCACGAATACCCAATTATAACTAATTTAATTTAATAATTTTGGCTGAATTTAGCTTACAAATTAATTTTGTAATTTACAAAATTGTTTTAATGTTATATATTTATAAAATATAAGCACAATAAAAAAATAACTATAAAACGATAATTATTTAATAAAAAAAAATGTGAATTGTTTGAGACAGCTGATGGCTGAGAACATTGTTTAAGGAGAGAAGTAGGAATGGAGGATGTATAAAATAATCTAATTTATATCTGTTTGCAACAATAAACCATTGCTTACAAAAAGATTAGCTATTGTAGTCGTATTTTTTTCCTTGTTTCCAAGGTAACCCAGAAACCAACAACAATTTTTCTAATACCTACAAATTTTTTCAATTTTTTAAGAAAGCTGTAAAGAAAACTAAAAAAATTACTTGAATGTACCGACTATAGTTTATATAATAGTAATCTTTTAATTAAGTAATTAAGTAAGATTAATTAGATATAATAGTTTATATCTAAAAATTTCCTACATAATTTTGGAATGGATTAAGATTTATTTTATGATAATATCTCGATAATTTATACTTTTATAAGTTATCTTTTGTGTGTGAAATTTGAATTTTACTACAAATTTCTAATATTATGAACAAAAAATAGGTACTATAGGTACTTGTATGGTACATCACACAAATAGTCGTCAACAAATTTGTCATCAGCTGTTTAATAACATATTGTACGTTTATACCTACCGATACCTATCCATTTCAAGTTTTTATTTTCGTTGTTTACGTTTATTAATAATTTATTTTGCATAAATAATTTATTATTTACACTCTGCATGTTATATTATGATATTCCTCGTTCTAAAATTATTCTATACGGATCCGCGATACTTGTTGTTTGTTTTGACCGGTGTAAATAAAATATGATGATGAATATTCAGCACGATGTTTCTGTTCAACATAATATAATTTTCGGAATAATAAATCGCCCGGGGTTTTTTTTTTTTTTTATCCATAATTGAAGCGTATATGATATAATAATACGGTGTATATACGATGCACATTTTTTTTTCTTTCGATACTAATATCGATGAACGTTTTGCGCGATTATAATGAAATATACTTGATGATAATATTATATTATAACATTAAAGAGCGCCTTTAGTGTCGGATTAATCAAACACGGCGGCGGCGGCGGTACGTTCATTTTCGATAAATCACTAACCGTAAAATACACAATACTATGACGGCGCGGTGGTATTTGTCGTCGTCTCTGCGGTTTTTCAGACGGGGAATACTATAGTGAATAAATGCGTTCACACAAAACCGAAAGTAAAAGCCTTTGAAGTCGATTTTTTAGACAATAAATATTTTATTAAACGATATTTCGAAGACGATCGCGTTAACGAAGTTTTTTTCGAAACATTTATTATCAAAAAATTTATTTGAAAAACAATTTTTGTAAACCTTCGCGATAATGAGTTAAATAAAAAACTGCGAAACGCCACGTGACATCGCCTATCTTGCCTTAAAAAAAGTTTTTCATCTACAATTTTTGTAAAATATAGGGATTTTATCTCTAAAACCGATTTTCCGAGGGCTTTTCTCAGTTTGGTTAATTCGTGCACCCGTTATATTTTTTGCTATGTTAGACACAGAAGACAAATGTTACTGTGGCTGCCTCTCAATGTCGTCATATCATACAATGTAAACAAGTTAGGAAACCGGAACTATATTTCTGGTTTTTAAACATATTATTTTTAATACTGACTAGTAGTATAAATGTATATTTAAATATATAATGATAATAACATAACGAGTTTATATTTAAATTAACAATAATAATGTTATGAACAACATATATCTCCTTGTCAAATAAATCAACAACCGTAACTATGTACATGTAATAATGATACCAACGAGGATGTTGTAAGGTGATTAAACTTTTGTACAATCGAAAAAAAAACTTACCGATATGAGCTGTAGCCGTGTCTTCATTTTTTTCCTCTATACTATATACTGCTGGAACGTCTGAAAATAACATTTTTTTTTACATTTTTTTTTAAACTGCAAGTTTTGAAATATGTTCTATGCATGCATGATTGACATCATCAGTGAACGTATATAGAACACGTATAATCGGATATTAATCTCCTATATTATATTATACGGTTTTTACTGGTACACTTTATTTTTGAATTCATAATCAATTATTCGATATGTAGTAAACTTTTTTTGTTGCGTTATTGGTTTTTATACAATAATCTATGTATACATAATAATAATATTCTAACTGACTGACTGATTCATGATCGTACAGTTCAAAGCACTGAACGGATCTGTTTGAAATTTAGCATACATTATATGGCTATTATGACGTAGGTATCTGCTAAGAAAGAATTTTTAAAAATTCAACCCCAAAGTGAGTAAAATAAGAATTTTTAGGTATTTTTAGTATTAATATCTTATTGCTTATGTTGGTTTATGAATTTATTTTCATTTAAATAATAAAAAAAATATAAATAAAACGAGAAATATTGCATACATACCTATTTAATAACTAAATAGATAAATTTTACTGTAGTATATTAATATATAATTGATATATGTATACAGCATATAAAGTTTATACACCCACCAGGAAAATTTGCGAAATAAATACATTGTCTTTAAAATTTAAAATGTTGTGTAAAAATAAATTTTAAATAAGTAAATGAAGATAAATAATTAATAACATTTAAGATGGATAAAAGAAAAAGACAATTACCTATGTGCATAAAACTAACTGCTGAAATCATAGTAAAAGTGTACTAGAGTTTGGTCTCTACATATTTCAAAAAGGTAGTGTGATTGATTTAATAATTGATTTATTAAACTATATACTTATAAAATAAATGTTTTACTTATTGTTTCTAAAAATTATAAAAAATTGCGAATTAAAAAGATTTATCTACATAAATGTATCTAGATGATACAATTTTTTTTATCTCAAATAATGCGTATTTCTTATTTATCTATAAATTAGACAAAACAATTAGTATATTATTATATTTGTATCGAAAATCTACCTAGATAAAACACAACACTGTTAGTAACTAGGCGGAAAATTAGAAAGGTAACATAGCTCGGTAGGATGTAGGATAATTTAGTTTATACACCAAAAAACAATGTTTAGTTAATAACAATTAAAATACAATTCTGATATAATAAGATTATAGACAACTGTAAATCGTGTATTTCTCCATCGTATATCCGAGAAGACGAGAAAACAATAAACATAATAACACGATGTTTATGTACATTATGTAGTCGTTTGTAATCTGTTTTTTTTTTTTTTTTTGAAAAACTATCGGGAATTTCCATTATATTTCAAATATCTGATTAATAATGCTAGTAAACAATAATAATCCTATTATAATTCTAATTCGCTAGTCGAAAATTCCGAATTTACACGGAAGAAGAAGACGTGATGTCCGATACAGCATTTTCTTGAATATAAATAGGTACACCACAAGTGTGTAAAATATTATGAATTTAATTTGCTTCATACATTCGAATTAGGGCCAGATAGTTCTAATTTTTGCGAACTTATGGCCCGCAAAATGCTTAATCCGGCAAAATGACAAAACGTTTTGGCATAACCGCAAGTAGCAAACAGAAAACAAGCAAGCAGCAAACTGTATCATCGCAAAACACGCGTAATAATAACAATAATAATAGGTGGTAAGAATATACTGGGCTGGTTACCTGTTCGCGGCGTTCGTCCGTCGATTTCGTTGAAGCGGCCGAGGGGACGGAACCGGACCCGGAACCGCGGGCGCGCGCGCGCGACTATTCATCGCGGTACGACGCGACCCGCAGCCGAGTCAGAGGTGAACGCGTGCCGCGTCCCGGCAACTGGTTTTGGCGGACCCTTCTTTTCGCGGCCCGAACGACGACAATATTATCATAATGGACGCTCGTGCTCGACAGCGCCGTCGTCGACAACAATAGCATATAGTAAGAATGCCGTACAATTATACGTGACAGTTTTTGCGGGCGGTCGATCGAAAAAACATAATATTCGCAGACGGCGCGTGAGATCAGAAATACAGTACCGAGCGCGGAATTATCACCGCGAAAACCGACTACTCATTTTGTATCGTACAAGTATTTCGTTATACACGGGAAAACTAAAGTAGCAAATATCAACATTGGACAGTAAGGCGGTCCCCTAAAGGTCTAAACCACGGAAAAATGAAGAAAATTATTATATCAGTACGAGCCACGTCTCGAAAATCAAAAACTGCGACGACGGTGACGGCGGTCGTCGACGGTATAACGCCACGAGAACCGAAATCAGACTGATCGAGATTACCGTATGTGCCTAAAGGTTCGCATAATATTATCGGAGACGGTTGTGAAAAAATAAAATAAAAATACAATATAATATAATAATATAGTTTAATGTATGCAAAAACGAAACGTATCTAATAATAGTATAATAGTAGGCGTACAAAAGACGTTTTGCGGGGGAGACGAATGACCACTACACAACCCCAACCACCCACCCGTCCGCTCGCCACCACGTTGCACTCGTTACAATATTATTATAGTATACTTTAATAAAAAAAATAAAAACTTCCCACGCGAAACGGGTACAACAGGTAAGTGTGGTGTGGGTGTAGTATAGGTGAATATACGCAGGGGTAGAATTCGTGGAGAGGGTGGGAAAGACTACTTACCTACCTATATGGAGTCTGCTTAGAGTGAGAAGGACGAGGCTTTTGTTCGTCTGCTGCGCGTATGATGTGGGGGAGCGCTCACGAAAATCGCTGTGCATAGGTAGGAATATTATTATCGGCGTAGGAGTGAGAGCATAATAACACATAATATTGTTTGCGATTATTGCAGTACTCCTATGTCGTAGGAGAGAAGTTTCGCATGAGAAAAAATACTATAAGGGTCGACACGGTGTGAGACAGTGAGTCGATGCTGCATCTCTTATTATTTTACATACGAAAATTATTATTACATATTATAATATACGACTACGGAGGGCCTTTTGTTGTGGCATTTTATGTCCTAGTGTCATAAAAACGGTTCGAGTTTTTTTTCCCCTGTTAGATTAATATTATAATAACATTTGCGCGACGTGTCGTTATAACGGTTATTTTTCCAGCGATTTGAAATAATATACGAGAAAATAATAATTATTATAATAATGACGATATCTATATTACAAATTCTATATTATAATAATTATAGGTCATCGAAACTATATACGATCCAAAAACTTCATTAATTTTGAAAAACACGACAGTTTTTTTATTAAAAATTAACAAAAGCTAATATAGGTACAATAACCTCATTTATAGTTATTATTTTTTTTTTATGCGGGACAACAATTTTCTATCTTTTTCTCTCAGAACATACGAGAATGAGGGATAAATCCCCTTCTCTAGGACCAAAAAACCCATTATCATAATATAGGTAAACACGTTGTTACACGTAAGAATTGTAATGTGTGATGAAATATTTAAATATACTATAATACTTCTCAGTTATGATATGATTAAAGCCTGATCCACTCATTGATGGTTACTATCGTGAAAGTTACGAAATTCAAAAACGTGATACTTACTTTTGACTAACTTTTCGGTTAGAAAAGAAATGCACAAAATACAAAAATATACAGTTTAAAAATACACACATTGTGAGGGTGTGTAAGCAAGTCTTATACTATACCCCCTTAAATAGACTTTATTTGCTTGCTTAAACTTATTGCCCCTGAAACATAGTGCTCACGGGGGAGTGTCGGTGAGAGCTATGGCCCCCGCTATTCTAGTTAACATTAAATACTAATTGTTTTATTACTTCCATGGCTAAAATATTTAAGCCGTGATTACTTGTAAGTTGTAAAAAAAAGTCTTATACTTTTAACTTTGCTCCCCCCTCTGGTTTATATCTTTGTGTGTGCCCTTGACCATAGTCTTTCCAACCCGGTTAGTCTGCCTGGAAATCCGTTCTGCACTTCCTCTTGGTGACCCGATTGACAGAATCCGTTGGTCTGGGGTCCCGTTTATGTAAAAAAAAAAAATAACCGTGATTCACAAATGCCGCCACTGCCGTAACATATTTGATGTTCGCAAAAATGGGCGGACTGTGAATCGTGTTTTTCGAAACAATCGTATAGGTCGGTGTATTATAGAAGACTCTGAAATAAAAACAAAATAAAAATGCTCAGTTCGTGCTAAAAAAGCTATGAACTATTACATATTATAATATATTAATATTAATCGTTTATAATTATTTTGTTTACGAGTTTTTGAGTATATAAAGTGAGGAAGTCGATTTTTTCGCACTAATTTCATTCAACGAATGATAATAATATTATTGTTATTATTTTTTAAAATCACATATTTCAATGTTAATCGTTTGTGATGTTGTCGATGAAATACTCAATAATAATTATTATTGTTGTTATATTTGTTCATTTTTATGTACAAATGAAAAATTTATTGTGATTTCATATTTCGTATATATTATAACATTTCTCCGACGTACCTTGTTAAAAATTGTATTTACATAAAAAAAAAAAAAAAAAAACCAAAGACTTTCTATTATTCTGTTAATTGTGAAGATTTTGTATTTTGAAAAAAAAAAGAGAATATTTATTTTTAATTTTAAGCAAAATGCATTCGGAAGAGGGTGATTAGGAGGTTTAAAAGTTAAGAAGGTTAAAGAGGGTGAGACTTCGATAAAAATGTTCAATATAGAGTACAATAAAGTAAATATAAATGTCAATAATTCAGTAAAAATGTAATTACATTAATTGGGTGTGAACTCAATTATTGAATTTTATAACAACCGTAAAATAACACCGGTTATAGTTTTTATAACGAATTCTAAAAATACCACGATTTATGCTTGAAATATAAACAACCCGCCCTAGCCAAGAGAAAAAACTATACCTATTTATTTTATGCCACAGTTAAGTGATTATCAAAATAAAAAAAATGAAAATATAAAATTTAAAAATTACGAAAAATAAATTAAGAATTGAAATTATTATGAAATTAAACCTCATTCATCTTGATAGCAACTAGATAGGTATCACATACATTATACATGCTCAAATTGTCAAAGTTAAATGATCTACGGTTTGGTTATAATACAGATTTGTACTGGCTAAACAAACGCTCCACTTCAACAGAGGTAATGGGTGAAAATTCCATGTTCGCAATATCCAAATGGGTGAGCTCAGTCTGCAATATTATCCCATTTGTTCCACAATGAATATCTCTAATTAATTTTATTTAGTATTATTTTGTTTACGTAATTTTTAAAACATGGAAAATTTTCTGTTTTGAAAAATATAATCGTATATAGGAACAAATTGTTTAAATATGTAGGAAAAAATAGAATTATTGAAAAACATATAAAAACATGTATTTATGGCGAAATATGTAAGAATATATAAAATCAAATATAGTTAATTTCATTAAAAATCATTATATAAGAATTTAACACTTAAATAAAATAATTTATCAAGTCACAGTAAAAATATCATCGTCAAACCGTTTATTGATTATTTATTTCGAATCACAGAACGGATTTTTTTTTTTTAATTATGTTCGTATACGTGTACGCTCATATACATAACGTAATTAGCCGAGTATACGGAACGATCACGGGTTCGTAACCACTCGCTTTCGTAATTTTAAATTAACTTCTCGATCGAGTTAGACGACTATACTGTTACAATACTATTGTTATAAAAGCCGTGCGCATAAAACATCGACGCGATCGTATATAATTATTGAGCTTTAGAACTGACGAGCCGTGTAATCAGTACACGCCGCAAATTTAATCCACACCCAACAATAGTTTGGACGGTATAATATACAATTATTATAAAGGTTTGACATTTACGGGGAAAAACCCAACCTTTTTCCGGATGGTGATTGAGAAATGTTGATGAAAATAAAAATTACGGTGGGAGGAGGGGATTTTTTCTGGGTAAAATTAATTTGTCAAAACAAACTTTTTTCATTTTTTTTTTTTTTTTTTTTGTTAATTAATTTTTATATTATTTTTTTATAAGTTTCTTAAACATAAATTTAGTTAGTCCGTCTTTATAATATACCTATTCACTGGTTTATATATATATATATATATATATGTTCACGGTTGTTGATTCGGTACCTATAAGATTGTTGATTATATTCATTATATTATTTATAACATTCTTAATTTAAATTTGAATATTAAATATAAATTCACACTGGTCAGTATTAAAAATCTTAACTTGTCGTTTTTTTTTTTTTTTTTTTACTTTCCAAACCGTCGTAGAAATTAAATGTACTTTTTATTTTTCTACTAACCTTTTATAAAAATAATTTTAACCTCATGTACTATAATATGCAGGTTAACAAACGTGCTACACGTGTACGCGGTAGTTGTTTAAAAATAACACACGTGTATGCGGTTTCTAGACCACTGGGAATTTGGGATTTTTTTTTTAAATTATGTAGGTAGACGCGCGTGATAGAAGACAAAGTGGAACATGGACTTTATTTTTTTTTCGCGTATTATTTTCAGGATAAATAATATTAAATACTATTCAAACATTGATCGCGAATTAAAAAACACGTTTTTACGTACTTTTATCGATTAGATACTTATAATAACGTAGGTACAGACTGATGACCTTTAATAATGCGCATCAGCTAATTTGGTTAACCAATTATTGCAGTGAGATCTATGAAATGTTTTTTTTTTTTTTCATAATTTCAATGTAATAATTATATACATACATGTTTTCTTCCAATCCGTATATTGGTTAAATGATACAAAGTTTTTCCACTCTATCCATAGTAAATTCTTTTTGCTCCTTGTATGTGTTCCTCTTCCAATTAACCTAATTTTTTTTTTATTAATCTGACTACCATGGTTTTCTACTCCTTAGTTTACCCTAGATTTTATTTTTTATTAATGTAATAATTCATGTATTGTACCATATGAAATGTCCTATGCATTTCTTTCCTAATTTTCTTTCGTTTCTTTCCGTTGTCTTCTATATAAACCTACATCCTATGGTACACCTCCTTATATGACACCCTTTTCAGTACCGTGCGTCGGGCGGAGTAAGATATTGGCGGTTTTATTCCCTTCACTAAATTTGCTAAAAAACACAACAACTACGTGTATTATATTAGGGATTTTATCTTTATGGAAAAATTATTGTTATTTACTATATTCTTTTTCATTGAAAATTCCAGAACACGTAACTGACCCTTTTTGTCCAAGATATTTCTAATACTAAACTCAGCACATCTATATACCTAA